CCTTTCTTTTTGGTTTCCCTTTCTTGCTTTTACTTCTTCCTCCCACCTAGCCCCATATACTACCTCCACCCCATCCTACTGGGCCACATCTCAGTGCCTTGGCTAGAGAGCCACCGGACCACAGTCACCTCGGGTCCACCCTGCCCCCACCCAGTGGCTCCCACTGTGCCACCATTTTTTATTTTTATTTTTGCTTTTGTTGCTCTCTTCTTTCTTTTCTGTCTTCCTCCCAACTAGCTCACACCTAGCTCTGTACATCACATCCCCTGCCTTCCAACCAGCCCTTGGTTCCTCCCCACCCCAACTTGCAGGCCTCCACCACACAGCATTTTATTTTATCATTTTTTTCTTTTCTCTGTCTTCCTTTTCCTTCTCCCTTGGACCTAGCCCTGTATGCAATTTCCCCCTCACCACCAGAACCCACCATGCCATTGCAGCTGGAGGACCACCAGCCCGCCACTGCCTCAGGTCTACCCCTCTCCCACCAAGACACCACTTATTTTTTTCCTTTTACTTTCTTTCCTTTCCACCTCCCACCTAGCCTCCTGCGCCACCTCCCCCCTTTCCCTCTAGCCCCCAAGTCAGCTCAGCCCCCAACTGCCAGCTATTTTTTTAAATCTTTCTCTTTTCTTTTCTTTCTCCTGTCACCCCACCTAGCCCCATACACCACCTCAACTTTCCCACCAGCCCCCGACCTGCTGCCACAGCTACAGCTCAAAACAGCCTCCACACTGGGCCTATACTGCCCCCTCCTCCTTTCACTTGACCAGCTGCTGAATGGTGAGAAGCGAGCCCACACCACTCCCCATCTGACACCCCTACCTATGTGACGAGGGGGTGGGAAAGCTTCCACACTGCTGGAAAAACATCAGGAGACAGACAGCGCCTGACCAGTCCACCCCTCAGCCACCTCACCAAACGAGTGTCCAGTGAAGCAGGCTTGCCCTGCCTGTCTGCCCATCCAGACAAGATGGTGAGAACTCGCGTGCCCACAGACGAGCAAGCAGCAAAACATGCCTGGCCTACCTGCCCTGACATATCAAAACAAAACAAAAAAGCAGGACAAAACAAATGAACATACAATCAATAAAGAAAGAAAATAATACCATAATGTCCCAGAGACAGCAGACAATATCAAAACGTAAAAAAGCAGGACAAAATGGCTCCAGTAAATGACCAAAATAAAGATTCAGATGACCTTCCGCTAGAAGAAAAGACAGTGGAGCTCCAAGATATGGAATTCAAAAGACTAATATTTAGTCTTTCCATGAGATAAGGAAAGAGATTAAGGAAAACACAGTCAAAACCAATGATAACATACTCAAAATCAAGGAAAACAGACAAAGCAATAGAAGAATTCAGGTAAATAATACAAGAACAAAACATCAAAACAAGTAAATCATTAGAAATCATACAAAAACAGCAATTAGAAGTCCAAAAGATAAACAAAATTTCAGAAATGGACAACTCAATAGAAAGTTTTAAGAGCAGATTTGAAACAATGGAAAACAGAATAAGTGAGATTGAAGACAAATCCATGGATGCCACATTGTTTGAGGAAAAATCAGAGAAAAGAATGAAGAAAAATGAAGAAATCCTAAGAATTATGTGGGACACAATCAAGAGCAAATATTTGCACATGATCGGAGTTCCAGAATAGGAGAAGAAAATGGAAAACAAAGAGAAGATTGTTAAAGATTTGCTGGCAGAATACTTCCGAAATATTATGAAAGATAAAAAGCTGACCATCCAAGAAGCTCAACGAAGCCCATATAGAATAAATCCTAAAAGAAAGTTGACAAGACACATCATAATCATACTTGTCAAAACTAAAGACAAAAAAAGAATCCCGAGAGCCACTTTAGGAAAATGAAAAGTCACTTACAAAGTGGGAACAATAAGGCTAAGCTCTGATTACTCAGCATAAACTATACAAGAAGGGGGACGACACATATAAAAGCTTGAAAGAAAAAAACCGTCAACCAAGAATACTATACCCTGTAAAACTTTCTCTCAAATTATGATGGTGAAATTAGGACATTTCCAAATAAACAGAAATTAAGGGGATCCACAAAAAGTAAACCAAACTAACAAGAATTATTAAAGGGAGTCCTTCGATTAGAGAACCAGCAACATCAGACAACAACCAATGTCTAAGACACAGGACAGTATCAGCCAGAAACTAACCTAGATAAAGAACTCTCAACAATAAAACAAAGCTAAGCAACTTAAAACAGAGGACCTACAGACTGGGAAAAAATTTTTGGCTGTGACACATCCGACAAGGGTCTAATCTCTAAATTCTATAAGATACTGCAACATCTCAACAACAAAAAACAAATAATCCAACGAAAAAAATAGGCAAAGGATATAAATAGACACTTCACCATAGAACACATTCAGGTGGCTAACAGAAGGACAAATACGGTATGAGACTACGATTATAAAAACTCAAGAAAAGGTTTACACAAAGAAAAAAACAATCTTTGAGGGTTACCAGGGAGAGAAGGGTTGGGGAGGGGAAATCATTAACTAGATAAGTGTTAACTTTGGTGAAGGGAAAGACGGTGCACAATACAGGGGAAGTTAGCACAATTTGACCAAGGCAAAGTCATAGAAGCCTTATAGACACATTCAAACACCTTGAAGGACTGAGTTATTGGGGCTGAGGGCTGGGGACCATAGTCGCAGGGGTCATCTAGGTCAATTGGCATAACAAAGTTCATAAAGAAAATGTTCTACATCCAAACTGTTGAGTAGCGTCTGGGGTCTTAAAAACTTGTGACCAGCCATCTAAGATACATCTACTGGTTCCATCCTGTCCAGAGCAAAGGAGAAAGAAGAAAACCAAAGACACAAGAGAAATATTAGTCCAAAGGACTAATGGACCACAAGTACCACAGCCTCCACCAGCCTGAGCCCAGAAGAACTACACAGTGCCTGGTCACTGGTCACTGACCGCTCTGACAGAAATCACAATATAGGGTCCCAGACAGAACGGGAGAAAAATGTAGAATAAAACTCAAATTCACAAAGAAAAAGATCAGACTTACTGGTCTGACAGAGACTGGAAGAAACCCCAAGACTATGGCCCCCAGACACCCTTTTAACTCAGAACTGAAGACACTCCTGAAGTTTACCCTTCAGCCAAAGATTAGGCAGGTCTATAAAACAATCAGCATCACATGTGAGGAACATGCTCCTTAGTTCAATCATGCATAGAAGACCAAAAGGGCAACACCTGCCCAAAAGCAGTGACGAGAAGATAGGAAGGGATGGGAAAAATGGATGTATGGAAATGAGGAACTGGAGTGTCGAAGGGGAGAGTGTTGAAACATCACGAAGATTGCAACCAATATCACAAAACAATTTGTGCATGAATAGTTGAATGAGAAACTAATTTTCTCTGTAAAGTTTCATCTAAAGCACAATAAAAAATAAGAAAAAAAAAATGCATTAAGCCAGAGCTGATACTTTTATAAATTAAAAATAAATTTGAATATGAACTTAAACCCCATGACTCCCAACTCTAAGAATGTTTTCTTCTACTGGGTGTTACTTTTTGCCTTTGATTCATTCCAACTCACCTCACTCAGCTAATACGACGTGTTCTCACTCTTTAGATGAAAAGAACAGGAAAAGACTAAACAACAGTGGGACTTCTTTTTCTACTGAGTTTGTACCCCTTTATTTGCTAATTTACTATATAGATGAGTCTCAGTTGTTTTTACTCTATATACATACACAAAAATTGGATTTCTAACAACATATTCCACAATCAACATCTATTCAGTCAACCAATTTGGAAATGCAGTGGGAAAAATAACTATGCTGTCATGGGAATCATTTTTCTACACTGTATCTACCTTCCTCTGTGAAAAAAAATTAAAATAAAAATACCTGTCTCAGGCTATTGAGAAGCACTACTGCCCACCCAGTGGCCCTGGTCAGAAATCTAGGAATCTTTCTAGGCACCTTCCTCTTCCCTCGCCTTACAGATTCCCAGTCACCAAGTGCTCTTGATGCTGTTGATTCTATAACTGAAATAGCTCGAATAGCTCAGGAATCCTTTCTTCCTTGTCCAACTCCAGTGACCCTGTCTTAGTTTAGCTCCTCGTCACTTTGCAGAAATAATTCTTAATTTAGATCCTTATTTCCAGTCTTGCTGATTTCAATTTGATTACAGTTGTAAAGATGGGGTTCCAGTGATAGGCAGAATGGATAAGCTATTGGGTACAAGGGATAATTTCTTGAAACTCCTTAGGACTCCCATCTTTTTCTAAAATTCTACTTTTCAAAGTATTCTTGATCCATTTGATTACTTCAGGGAGACAGCCTCATTTAGGTACAGACAGTTCTCTTAGGCTCTTTACATTCCTATTATTTTTTACTTAGAGGATGTGCCGTTATCCACCAGTATGAGAAGGAGTCAATAGGAAGGGCAAATGGAGCCTAACAGGCTTCAGAGAAGGCTGCCAAGCTCACATTTACCAGGGAACAGTACCTGACTTAATGATTCCCAAATTTATATACATGAATATATATATATATTTAATTCTAATACCCTCTCATAAAATCTATGCCCCCTCTCCCCCCTCCCTCATTGAAAAAGGTGATTCTAGATATGGAAATTTAATTTAATGAAGGTTCCTATTGACTGTCAAATAATGTTATTTCACTAAAAATGTTTCAGATGAGCTTTAGCCCATTGTACTAGGAGCTAGTCCCTATCATACCCCTTCTGCAATAAGATTTCAAGAATATCTTAAATCCAAAGCCCTTTGAAACTCAGCTCACATTCAGAAAAAAAGTTGCCATTGAGTCGATTCTGACTCATAATGACCCTATAGGACAGAGTAAAATGGCCCCATAGGGTTTCCAGGAATGGCTGGTGGATTCAAACTGCCAGCCTTTTGATTAGCAGCCATAGATCTTAACCATTGCACCACCATAGCTCCATTAGCTACTAAGAATTTTAATGTTCAAAAGATAGTACTTACACCAAAATTGGTAGCAGCAAATCGATCTGAGGCAGAAACCTGTACATTTGTTGAAACTGTTGTATGAGCATAGAAAGCGTTTATATTAGCCAGCAAGGTGCTCATAACTGCAGGGACACCAGGGCACATGTATTTAGATGACAGACATGAGAAGTGCCTGTAAGACAAAAACATTAAGAACTCTTAGAACAGAAACTAATTCATATAACAGCATATCCTCCAATGTCAGCAATCAAATAATTTCCCAACCACATCTATGAAAAAAGAAGGGAAACCTCCCACAATCTCTAACTGAAAGAGAAAGCAACTTCAGCATTTTGAAAAGTTCTTATTCACAAATGTGAAGTGGTTTAATTAGAGTGTGATTTGCCACAAGGATGTGTGCATAATTCCTCTCAATGCAACAGTGTTGTGAGCACACACCAAAAATGCAATTTTCAGTGGAATTTAGCACTGTTAGAAGCAATAACAGAGGTCTCCCTCTTGCGCCAACATTATTTCCACTTATTTCAATTCCTGAACTGCCATTTTCCAACCAGAATGATGTTCTTGCACACTCATATTCCTCTTGCATTCATTAAATAGCGAGAGGCCCTCCTCTCATTACACACTGATCTAACAAGTCAACCTAATGATCTGACTTGAGTTCAGTTTATGTGTGTTATTCAGAAAGGAATATCTTACACAGTAGTTCTGTTTTATAAGTGCTTTGTTATAATAGGATTTAATAAGAAAAAAAGATGAATAGTGAGGACTGATTGAGTTATGCTAGCTCTATGCTTAAAGACATTTCTTTTAAACCTTGAAAAATAAGTATCATTTACAGCCATCAGGTGCATCAAATATTCAATTCTGTTACTTCACGCAAGGAAACCTGTTTCATTTGAACTATAACAAAACACTTGAAAATCGAAAGCGAAACTTATGATAGAAGTGAAAAGACAAAATATGGATGGAGAAAGGAAATTTCCAGTATCTAATCTGGTCATTTTTGCATTCATCTTTCAGAAATTTATTCCCTACCTCAGCATCTCTGAATTTTATATTATTGAATTCAAAGAGAATGCACATACGCAAATAATGGACCTGAGTGGCACCCCCAAAATAAATGGATAGTGATCCTGATAATTGTGGCATCTCTTAGATCTTCCCAGGTCACTCACCTAGCTTGTCACAGCACTAGCTAATGAAGGTATATTAAAGTTTTAAACATGGTTTTTTGAGGATCATGAATAATACTTTATGCCATTAGAGTTATATAATTTGAGTAATTTAACCCTAGGATTAGATTATCAATGACCGCTCCTTCTTTAAGGTAAATGATACATATTTTGAATTCATTCTACACTAAACTACTTTTAATAAAATTAATATGTATTGATAATGCCACAAATTATATAAATGTTTTAAAGACAGAAATTTAAATAGAACTGTAGAGCTATGCAATCTCTTTTTTCCCTCAATGATTTACAAGTAACTGTATTTGTTAGATCCTTCCATCAAAAGTGGAATACGCAATGCCTAAATGTAATGGGGTGAAGGATGGCATAAAATGAAAGTATGCATACCTAGGAGGAAGAGAGATACAGGAACATTGTTATGGATTGAATTGTGTCCCCCAAAAATATTAGTCAACTTGGCTAGGTCATGATTCCCAGTATTGTGTGATTGTCTACCATTTTGTCATCTGATGTGATTTTCTCATATGTTGTAAATCCTACCTCTATGATGTTAATGAGGCAGGATTAGAGGCAGTTATGTTAATGATGCAGGACTTAATCTACAAGATTAGGTTTTAAGTCGATCTCTTTTGAGATATAAAGAGAGAAGCAAGCAGAGAGATGAGGGGACCTCGAACCATGAAAAAAGCAGTGCCAGGAACAGAGTACATCCTTTGGACTTGGGGTCCCTGCACTGAAAACTCCTAGACCAGGGGAAAACTGATGAGAAGGACCTTTCCCCAGAGCCGACAGAGAGAAAGCCTGCCCCTGGAGATGGCACCTTGAATTCAGACTTACAGCCTCCTGTATTTTGAGAGAATAAATTTCACTTTGTTAAAGTCATCCACTTGTGGTATTTCTGTTATGACAGCACTAGATAACTAAGACAGAATTTGGTACCAGAAGTAGGGTGCTGCTCTAACAAATACCTAAAATGTGGAAGCTGTTTTGAAGCTGTGAATGGATACAGGCTGGAAGAATTTTAAAGTGCCTGATAGTAAAAACCTAGATTGCCTTGAAGTGACTGTTGGTGGAATTAGGGACATGAAAGACAATTCAGGTGAGGACTCAGAAGGAAGTGAGGAGAGCTGTTACACTGGAGTCAGTGCAGACAGCAGTGAGAAGCAGAAGACAAATGGCAACAGCAGAACTAGGAGACCAGCACAAGACAGCACTGGAGCTGACCAATGGAGTGAGAGAGCCGAGTGCCTTTGTGCAGGAGGCTTACTGGTGGAATGGGGTGCCCCCAGGCAATTATTGATGGAGCTACAGAGCTTTGGATCACTTGACCCAGCAGGGAAGACTTGGGTGGTGAGGCCCAAGTGCAGAGAGGCCAAGGAACCAGGAAGCAGAAGCTTAAGGGACAAGGAACACAAGAAGCAGAGCAGCCTTAGTCTCAAAGGGTAGGGCCACAACCTCTGTAGTCTCAAAGGGTGAAGTCACACTACTCAGATAGACTAGGAGAATGGGGCCTCCCAAATCCAAGGGAGAGGAGTTGCCTTTCCAGTGGGCCTGGAAAGCAAAACCGAAGCCCAGGGCTGAGGGGCCTCCACCCAGAATCCAGAGAGTGTGGCCAACAGCGTTTAGAGGGTAGGGCCATTGCCTAAATGGTCTTGGTGAACAGAGGATTATTTTCAAGCCTTGAGAGCTAATGAAATGTGTTTGGCTAATTTGCTTGGTGCTGGTTATCGCTTCTTTCCCTCCAATTTCTCCCACTTGTAATGGAAATTTATAGCTTGTGCCTGTCCCACCATTGCACTTTGGAAGCAGATAACTTGTATTCTAGATTTCACAGATGAAGAGGAATTTTTGGATTTTGGACTTGGAGTTGATTTAAGAATTTTGACATGATATGATGGCATGAATGTGTTTTATATGTGGCCAGGACATGAATTTGGGGGGCCAAAGGGTGGAATGTCATGGATTGAATTGTACCCCCCTAAAATATTTGTCAAATTGGCTAGGCCATGATTCCCAGTATTGTGTGATTGTCCACCATTTTGTCATCTGATATGATTTTCCTATATGTTGTAAATCCTACCTCTATGTTGTTAATGAGGCAGGATTAGAAGCAGTTATGTTAATGAGGCAGGATCAATCTACAAGATTAGGTTGTGTCTTAAACCAGTCTCGCTTGAGATATAACAGAGAGACGCAAGCATAGAGACAGGGGGATCTCATACCACCAAGAAAGCAGCACTGGGAGCACAGCATGTCCTTAGGACCTGCGGTTCTGTGCTGAAAAGCTCCTAGACCAGGGGAAGATTAATGACAACGACCTTCCCCTAGAGCCAACAGAGAGAGAAAGCCTTCCCCTGGAGCTGGCACCATGAATTTGGACTTCCAGCCTCTTAGATTGTGAGAGAATAAATTTCTCTTTGCTAGAGTCATCCACTTGTGGTATTTCTGTTATGGCAGCACTAGATAACTAAGACAAACATCATAGGCAAATGCCAAATTAAAAGACCTGAGCCTGCATTATGTATTAAAAGAGCTACTGAGGTCATTCAAATCAATAACTCTGTTCTTGGTTTTAAAAAAGGGTTTAGTGCCCTCATGGTGCAGTCATGTTACTCACTCTTCACTTCTTGTGGCTGCCACTCTGGATTTTTGGTGCCTGATAAAGGTGACAGCAATAGCTTAGCAGTTAAAGCATAAATAATGCAGAACATAGGAAACTTGTCCCCACTTAAGGCATACACAGTGTGATTTTTATGAAGTAAAATAAAATGGTTTATTTCTAAAATGATATAATTATTAAACAGTACTGACTACTTATAAGCTATCTGAGGGAAAAGTGAGTGCAATACAGGAAGGTTGGGGTTGTCAAAAAGCACGCTTCTTCTATTTTACACTTTGTATTAGTTTAGCCAATATCTTGATGATGAAAATGCCTTATGAATTCTGTGGCTGTGGGACTGCAAGAAATGTTTCACAACCAAAATGATATGTTTAACAAATAATTTATAAGCTGGAGGCAGAGCCAACATGCACCCTAGACAGATGCACCATGCCGTCCCTCTGCAGCAAAGACCCAAAAAACTAAGTAAAACAGATGCAAACGTCAATCCTGGAACCCTAAACATCAAATGAAAGAATAAAGAACTAGATCAAACACTGAATGAAAGAAGGAAAATAGAGAACAAGGAGAGATACAGAGTGGGGGTCCCCTGCCACCTAACATGGTACAGAGTTGTCATCTTGGAGCACAGCCAACAATGGCCTCAAACAGGGAGCTCAGGAAGGCAACTTCACAGAGCTCTCAACAGGAGTCAGAGAACCCAGTAACCAGAGAAACATGCTTTTCTACCCCTCACCCTTCTGCCCTATATGCCACCTCCACACTTTCCTGATGAGCCACGCCATGCTGCCTTGGCTAGAGAGCCACCAGCCCACCCTGAGCCCAGGTCTGCCCTGCCCCCATTTGCCAGCTCCTGGTACACCATTTTCCCCCCTTTCTTCCTTTTATTTCTTCCTCCCACCTAGCCCTGTACACCGTCTCTACCCCTTCCTGCCAGGCCACGCTGCACCACTGTGGATAGAGAGCAACGACTTGCCACCAACCCAGGCTCCCCCCGGACTGCCAATGCTCACCTCTGCCGTCAGCTCCCACTACACCATTTTTTCCCTTTCTTTTCTTTCTCCCTCCCACCTTGCAGATCATTTTTATTCTTTTTTACTTTTTCCCTTTCTATCTTTTGTTTCTCTCTGCCACCTAGCCCCGCATGCCATTTCTACACCTTCCTAGCGGGCCATGCTGTACCACACTGGCTAGAGAGCCACTGGCCTGCTGCCACTCTGGATATGCCCTGACCTCACTTGCCTGATACTACCATGTCATTTTTTTTCTTCCCTTTCTTTATCCCTCAGACCTAGCCTCGTATGCCACCTCCCACCTTTTCCATCAGGCCATGCCATACCACCACAGCTAGAAAGT